AACCCCTCAGTGTGCTCAGGTAACCCCTGTAACCCCTCACCCTGCTCAGGTAACCCCTGTAACCCCTCACTGACTAGATTCTAGGTTAAAATGAGGTATAAATTCAGAAGCTTAGTGTTTATTATCTGTGGGAATGCAGGAATGAAAGAGACTTCCTGGGGTATTTCATCCCTACACAAGCAATGTATCTCAGAATCCCTAGATCTTTTACACAAAGCAGTCCTTAGATTTTTATCAAACTCAGCCATAAGTCAAGTAATATCCTTGGCTTTATGACTTTTCTTGGAAGGTCATCTCAAATCCAATTCCTTTGATTAAGTAAGTTTAGAACTAGTTCTTTTTTTAGCTTCCAGCCCAGGTTTCACAGCCAAGTCAGGATTTGTTCTGGAGTGTTATCCTCTCGCTTAGAGCACCCACAACACTTGCCTACCAATCTGCTTTTCAGTAAAGACGTTTAATCCTTTATCTGCATATTTACCTGTTATTGGCTAGAATGACCCAGCCTAAACCCAGCTGCCACAGGCTTATTTTCCCCCTCTGACCCAATTTCTTACCACTGCTTGCAGAAAGAACCTGAGTGAGCTGGATGAGGTTCAGAGGTACTTCAGTGAGAAGCTGACCAGGTCTTTTCCCGACTTCAGCACGTCCAGGCCAGGCCATGAGGAGCGGCAGAGTGACCATCAGGGCTCCATGGGCAGAGAAGGGGATCCCAAAGGCTGCCATCTCTTGGAAAAATCCAGTCAGTTGGTGTCCCAGGTCAGCAGCCTCATCAATGGTGAGTTGTTGCTGTGAGTAGCAAAGTGACAAGGAAATCCAATCCCTGCTGGTGCTTTTAAATAACTTACCAGAGCAGAGAATAAACTGGAGCCCAGAGCTACAGTTGCTGCCGGTTGGAAAGTTATTCCATGCTTTTTCTGCCCAGGCTTCCTGCAGGGAAGCAGCATTTCCAAGAGATGAAGGGCACGTCCCTCTTACGCCAGAATTTTCCACTCTTCTGCCACTTTGATCTTCTCTTTTTTTCCTGCTCTTTATTCTCCAAGGTTTTGCTCTATGTCCTTTCTCATCCTTAGCAATTGTTTTTACTGCTTTTTTACATGCCTTCCTCTACAGTCTGTTCCAGACTCTTCCTTCTCCCTTTCCAAATGTCCCCCACCATTGCCTTGGATCAGAACTTGCCTCAGAACAGTTGGTCGCTTTACCTAACACTGGTGAATTCAATTCTCAAAGGATGCAAGCAGTGAATAGGATCTGCTCACTGGGGAGCAAAAATAAGTGATGTGGCTTTTTAAAGAATTTGTAAAAGTTCCCGTTAATTTCATCCTGAATGCTTCTGTTTTTCCCTTAGCATTTCAGTTCTCCTGGCCTTGTCAGTGGGTGGCAGAGCAGAACATGCTCACATGTTTGCAAAGCTATGCGTGTTCAGCTCCCAGCCATCCTTACACCTGGGACTTGGTGCCCAAACCCCACATAAATCAGACTTTAGCTGAATTGTTGCTCCATGCATTCACTGATGCTGTTTTCTGTTAAGCAGACTTGCAGACCATGACTAAGAGCAGCAAGGCAGCCTGTGGGGAGCAGCAGGAGAGCAGCAGGAAGGGGGGCGCCTGGGCTGTGCCCGGCTGGCAGGGGGCAGGAGGCAGCCCTGCAGCTCCTGAGGGCCCGCTGGAGGTGCCAGCTGTGCCCAGCATTCCCAGGGACGCGCAGCAGCCGTGCCCTGCGGGCAGAGCCGTGTTTGGCAGACACATGTTGCACCAGCTCCTCGGCCCCATGGTCCCTGAGGATGAGCATCCTTTTGGCCAGGAAAATGAAGATGCTTTTGCCACCCAGCCTCACAGCGAGGAGGAGTATGAAGAAGATGTGATAGAACCACGAACTCTGAATGAAATAACCACCATGACAGACAGGACGAGCCCCTGGTCCAGCATCATCTCCGAAACAGGGCAGGGGGCTGAGCTGCAGCCTCTGGAGCCCAGGCCTGAAGGGCAGCATTCCGTAGATGTGGGGTGTTTCCAGAGAGGGAACAGCAGCACCTTGTCCAGCACGCTGCAAGGGGACAGCCAGGGCCTGCCCAGCGCCCTGAGCCCACCCGTGAGCCCCCGTGTGGGTGGGAGCAGCCCCTGGGGAGCTGCAGGAGACCTGCAGGGCTTCCACAGCAGTGCAGGAACAGCAGCAGGAGACCTGCAGGGCTTCCACAGCCACACAGGAACAGCAGCAGGAGACTTCCAGACCTTCCACAGCCACACAGGAACAGCAGCAGGAGACCTCCAGGGCTTCCACAGCCACACAGGAACAGCAGCAGGAGACCTGCAGGGCTTCCACAGCAGTGCAGGAACAGCAGCAGGAGACTTCCAGGGCTTCCAGAGCCACACAGGAACAGCAGCAGGAGACCTGCAGGGCTTCCACAGCCCCACAGGAACAGCAGCAGGAGACTTCCAGACCATAAAGGAAAGTGTGGAGCTCCATGCAGGCTCCAAGGAGCTGCTGCCATCCCCAGGAGACATGGGTGTGAGCAATGAAAAAGGCACTGAGAGAGAGGAGGAGGAGGATGCTGAGGCTGTAAATGGGGGTCATCAAGGCAAGGAAGGCAGTGGTTCTGATGAGAACTGTGCTCAGAGTGTATCAGCCCAAGCTGGCTCGGAAAGAAACAGCGAGAGCTTCCCAGATGACAGCAGTGAGGAGCCAGTGGAAGGCTCGGAAAACCCCATCAAGCAAAAAGTCACCTTGTATCCTTTACTGAAATGTTTTCTTAAACACTGGTGCATTCGGTGACTCTGCTGCTTAGTTAGAGTCTCCCTGGTCTCGGGACAGAGAAATGTGCTGTGTGAAACTTCCCTGGGAAATGAATCCAGGCTGGAGATCTGGGAGGGTGTTGGAGGACCCCCTTACACTGTTTCACACACTGTAGTGATGACTTTCTTGAAACTTGCAGCCAGCAAATTTTGTGATTTGTGAGAGGCACTTTATTTTGGGTAGTTCCCACATGTCTTGTTGCATTTTCTCTCCGCGTTATTTTCCCCCATGTGTTAGAGCTATTGTGTCTCTCCTGTATCAAAAGAAACATGCTTTATTTTGCTTTTAAAATACTTCCTAATGTTTCTTGCACAAATTACAAATCTTGAATTGAGTGCTGGAATCTTTGCAGGGTGAAGTCCTCTGCCAATTGGTGAGGTGTTGTTTTAAAGTGAGTCAGTGTCTCATGCTCTGCAAGCCCAGGTGAGAGAACCAAGTGTTCAGAACAGTGGAATATTGATTAAAACAAATGAAATTTACTGGGACCTGTTAACAGCTAAGGCTTTTTCCACCCCTGGACCTCTGCGTGCTGCCAAAGGTTGTTCCTAAACAGCTCTGCTCAGATCTGATCCTGGGGTTGTTCCCAACTTCTTCCTTCCACCCCAGGAGATGGAAGCCTCCATGAGACTGCTCTGCTCTACTTCTTCCCATCCTTCCACCCCTCCAAAAGTGAGTATGGGATGCCCTTGCCTTTATTGTCCAGCTTAGTCCATCCCTTGAGGCAGGAACAAAAGTTCTCCCTTCCTTTGCCTGCCAGCACTCAGCTTAGGTGTGATGGCTTCCAGCAGTGTCAGGGGAATGTTCCTGACAGCTCTTCTCTCCGTGAGGATGGTTTTAACATCCATGGCTGTGTTCCCTGTGATCCTGTATGCCTCTCTATCAACCAGCAGGCTCAGGAAATGCTGCTCCATCAGGTCAGTGGGAGTGGCAGGTGCTCACTCTGCACTTCCTTGTGCTTTAGTGTGAGGTGACACGCCTGGTTCTGAGAGTTCCAACCTGTGATTGACAAACTTCAGATTATCTCTTTTAGATCAGGATGAAATGAGGGAGTTTGCAGCAGGAGGGGGTTCCTGGAGAGGGATCTTGTGATGATTCTGTGTCCCAGGGAGCAGTGGAATGGCTTGAGTGGTTGTTCCTACTGCAGGAAAGCTGTGGATTGCTGAGGTTTTGCTTTTTTTTTAAATGTTCATAAGGGTTTATTTACTGTCAGAGGTTTGTGGCTCCAACATCTACATATTTATCTTAATTTCAGTTCATAAAGAGGGGGTATAAAAAGAGAGAGATTTTTTACTCAGGCATATAGTGATGGGATAAGGGGAAGCAGTTTTAAACTAAAAGAGGGGAGATTTGGATTGGATATTGGGAAGTTTTTCCCTGTGAGGGTGGAGAGGCCCTGGCAGAGGGTGCCCAGAGAAGCTGTGGCTGCCCCTGGATCCCTGGAAATGTTCCAGGACAAGCTGGATGGGGCTTGGAGCACCTGGGACAGTGCAAGGTGTTCCTGCCCATGGCACAAGATAATGAGCCAAGCTTTAAGGTCCCTTCCCGCCCAAACCATTCTGGAATTCCTGATCCTTTTCCAGCCCCAGCTGTGCTGTGGATCTGGGTGTGCAGCACCTGGGCTGTTTGTTTACCACTCTTAGATAGGGTGATGCTTTAGTTCCTCTCTGTGTGACCTCTGAAACAAACCCTTCAAGGGACATTGATGTCACTGGGAACAGCTTGCCCGATGAATCAAAAGAGACTCAGACAGGCTCTGGTAGCTCTGAAGTCACAGAAACCTCTGGTTTAATACTAATACCAGCTTGCCTTGAACTCCCTCTCTGCAGCTCTGAGCTGAGTGGCTGGAACTACAGCCCTGCAAATTATTACTAATTAGGTAAAATCTTGGCAAGGCACTATTTGGATATTTTGATCTTAAAGCACTTAATTTGAGGATTGGCTGGCACTAATCCTTTGCTGCAGCACTTGTGGGATGTGTGAGACAGGATTTGGTTGTGTCTTGTTCATCACATTCCCTCTGCGAAGAACCAGTTTTTCACTGCTGCCAATACATAGAGTTCAGAAAAAAATGCTTCCTCATAGTTTTGTTTTTAGTTCGGGACATCAGCTTCTAAATGTGGCCTTGGTTTGGTTGTGCACAGGCCAGCAAACAGCCGGCGTGACAGCAGGGCTGACAGCCGAGCTGTGCTCTGGTCGCACTTGGCAGCTGGCAGACATCCCTGCTGGCCTTGCAGGGCCCTCCCAGCTCCTCCTGGAGTGACACAGCAGTGCTGGGCTGTGGAGCTGGGCAGCCCCAGCACGGGGGCTGGCAGCATTGGGGACAGAAGCATTGTCACAGCTCCTGCTGAGAGAGCACGGGGCCCTGAGGTCAGGCTCAGCCTGGATGCTGTCACACCTCCCAGGGATCAGACTTTTGTAGAGCCTCACAAAACCTCTCTGTTTTTTTCCTTGTTTTCTCCATGACATCAAACTAATGCTTCCCATTCTTGGGGTCCTTCCCAGCTCTTGTCTTCCACACACTGGGGCCTAGAGGATAGGTTTGGAAAATCAGAGCATTGATAAACTCTTCCATAAAATGCCAGAATCCCAGAATGGTTTGAGTGGGAAAGAACCTCAAAGATCCTCTTGTCCCACCCCCTGCATGGGCAGGGACACCTTCCACGGTCCCAGGTGCTCCGAGCCCCATCCAGCCTGGCCTTGGGCACTGCCAGGGATCCAGGGGCAGCCACAGCTGCTCTGGGCACCTGTGCCAGGGCCTGCTCACCCTCACAGGGAGGAATTCCTTCCCAGTATCCCATCTAGCCCTGCCCTCTGGCGCTGGGCAGCCATTCCCCTTGTCCTGGCACTCCAGGCCCTTGGCTAAGCTCCCTCTCCAAATGCAGTGATATTTTTCCTCACTCACCTCTAGGAATATTGCAACAGGATAAGAAACTTACATGGAAACCAGTTTTACTCTGAATAATTAATATTTGTGTATACATAGACTTACCTTCAGTGTGAATTAGAAATAACACAGCCTTGGGCAGATTCACAAAAACAGCATTTATCCAAAAATGCCAACAGCAGCAGCTGCCAGAAAAATCCTTTCTTAGTTGTGTTGTTTCTTCTTGATCTGCTGGATCTTTGTGATTTCCTTGCTGGGAAGCAGGATCAGGTGGCAGTGCCAGGGTGGACTGTGGCCTGTTAACACAGATCTGTTCACCCTCCATCCCTGGGCACAAACCCACTCAGCCACAGGGCTGAAACATCCTCTGCCCCCAAGCCTGGAATTCCCTGACCTTGGGAGAGGCCGTGCCTCCCACCGTGGATCCATGTGTAACTCGTGGATCTGCCCCAGCCCAGCCCCTGGCACTCAGTAATCCCTGTCTGGCTCCAGTGCCATTCCTGCAGGGAGCAGAGCGCAGCGTGACCCGCGGCACACGTGTGCCCTTTCCTCCTGCACCTTCCCAAGGAACACGTGTGCCTCCTGGCTGAGCCCCAGGCACTTGGAGCTGACAGACAGACAGGAGGACACCTGGGATGGGCACTGGCCTGAGGCTGTTCCTGGGCTGAGGAGTGCTGTAAACACGGCATCTCAGATGTGTGCTCTGGAAACTATGCAGCAGGATCAGACTGGCAGCCAGAATTTGGCGGTGAGGTGGGTCAGAGGAAGGTTTGATGTCCAAAAAAAGAGCAAGGGAGCTGGGGAAGGGGCTGGAGCACCAGGAGGGGCTGAGGGAGCTGGGAAGGGGCTCAGCCTGGAGCTCAATAAGAACAGGAAGTGTTTTAAACTGTTTTGCCCGCAGGGTCCTGGTGCTGTTTCTCTTGAGCATTTTAGGAGTGTTAGATGTTAGGAGGGAATTTTTGACTGTGAGGGTGGGCAGGCCCTGGCACAGGGTGCCCAGAGCAGCTGTGGCTGCCCCTGGATCCCTGGCAGTGCCCAAGGCCAGGCCGGACAGGGCTTGGAACAGCCTGGGACAGTGGAAGGTGTCCCTGCCATGGCAGGGGTGGCACTGGATGGGCTCTAAGGTCCTTTCCCACCCAAACCATTCTGTGGTTCTGTTCCTTACATTGGAAATGGGAGCTGCCGGCTCTCCATCCCTGGCTTTGCAGGACACGTGGGATATGGGAAAGGGGAGCAGTGGGAGGCAGGAAATGCAGTTTCATGCACTTTGTAATGGGGTTAGCTGGCAGACTGAGGGAGTTTCCTAGAGAGATGCTTTCAGATGCTGTGCAGAGCTCAGGGATCAGCCCACAGCCTGCTCACTGCCCCTCTCCAGCCACTCCTGACCATGGGGCTGTTCCTTGGACAGCTGGGCAGAAAACAGCATGGGATGGGTGAGCTGCTGTCCTGTCTCTGGACAGCCCTGTCCAGGGGAGGTGCTTCGCCCAGCAAGCAGCCCTTTCTGCTGGTTTTTAAGCTTCTTCTGTGGCCAGGTCTGCATTTAATCTCGGCTCCTTGTATTTTGGTTTAGGAAATTGATCCTGGAGAATTGTTAGGAAGAGCAAAGCAAGGGTTCTCCTCATTATCCATGTCTGTTACTTCAGTGCAATAAGAAGGGGAAGTGATTTAAAATATTTTACCTGCAGGCTGTAATGCACGGGTTACCAAACACAAGGACTCTCCTATTCCTGAAAAAGCCATTTCCCTCTCCAGACAGTGCATCTCAAAGTGCTCACAACAGGGTCCTGGTGCCATTTCTTTGGAGGGAGCTGGGCACCTCAGGAGACCTTTCATGGCCCAGGGATGTAGGTGAAAGGCCAGCTTGGCAGATCAGCTTTCCCAAAGACATTTCTGGCCCCCCAGCTTCCTCCCTTAAAGGCTCCCTAAGCAGGATTGCTTTGCTCAGTGCTCCACAGCACAGCCCAGCTCTAAACTAGCTGGGGGGATTTGTGGTTTTTTGTGTTACTGAAATTACTCATTTCCTGGTGCTGCTGGAGCATCAGGGACACAGCCAGGCTGCTGGCAGGGCACAGAGGAGATGACACTGGTTAAGCCAGGGCTTTTCCTCTCCTGGGCTGCTGCCTTGGGGTCCCTGCAGGCACCTGAGCCTGGCCCATCCATTTATCAGGGAATCACAGTGGTGGTTTGGGCTGGGAGGGACCTTAAAGCTTATCCAGCCCCGTCCCTTGCCATGGCTTCCAGGTGCTCCAAGCCCCATCCAGCCTGGCTTTGGGCACTTCTAGGGATCCAGGGGCAGCCACAGCTTCTCTGGGCACCCTCTGCCAGGGCTTCATCACCCTCATAGGGAAGAATTTCTTCCCAATATTTAATCTAAATCTTTCCTCTTTTAGTTTAAACCCCTTCCCTGCCTTGTCCTGTCAACAGGCTTAGGATTTGTTGTTGACAGAGCATTGCCTCTCCTCTGTGAGATTTGGTCTTCAGGGTTCTGGAAATTATAAAGTAAAACAATAATGGAAAGCCAAAATGCAGTCAGGTCCCAGTGACTACAGCACCGCCATTCCTTTGGCTTTGTGCGGGGAGGCTTTGGCCAGGGGCGGGCACTCACAGGGTCACACACCAGAGCCCCATTCTGGGTTCAGCTCATTCTCTTTCTCCTCGGGGTGGTTTTTCTGTGTATCCAGCTTGCCGCCCTCTGCCCAGCCCTGTGGTTTGCCGCGGCTGAAGGCGGAGCTCTGACCCTGCCTCTCTCCCCAGGGCAGCAGTGGAGCGGTGCCTGCAGGGATCCCCTACCGGAGAGCGGCTCGGCCCCGGCCCAGCCCGCAGCTCTCGCAGGAGGAGGCCCAGAGGATCGCCAGGATCTTCTCTGCTCAGCTCTCCACCAAGGAATAGCGCTGCCCAGAGACCCTGCACAGCACAGCTCCTCACCAGGCACGGGCAAAGGCAGAGCCCCCCGGGGAAGGGGAGTGGAGGCCGCAGCCTTCAGGCTCTCCTCTTAGTTTGCCTCATGGGTTGGTTAATTGGAGTCCCCTGTTTAGAAGGGCTTAAAGCCTGTGGCACCCACAGGGAGCTGTGTCCTGTAGGGGCAGGTCCCCAGTGAGACACACCCCTGTGGGTAACCCATGACCTGTTATCTGCTCTCCAACTAGTCAAGTTTTAGGATTTATTCCTGTGAAATAGCCCTTTCAAAAATAGTTGGTGGGCAGCACAATTCTCTGTTTCCTCAGGTGCCCAAAGTCTGTGTGAACACAGACCAAGGGCACATAAAATCTGGTGGGTGTACAAAAGAGGGTGACTAGAAAGATGAGACTTTTATATTTATATTTAAATTATTTTTGTACACCTTTCAGAGAACAGACTTTGATGCCAGCAGAGCTCCGTTATTTTTGTACTGCTCTCTCCAGTGTTTGTTTCAATAAAATTCCCGTTTTCTTGTCAGCCTGTGCAAAGTGTGTCCCTATGGAGGGCAGGAACCTTTCCTCAACAGTAGACAGGAGTCTCTCCCACATGAGCTCCAGGTCAGAGAAATGCTGCTGGAAGCTGGGGTGGCCAGGAACACATGGAAAGAGCAGGGCTTTGCCAAGGAGTCGAGTGTCACCCTGCAGCACAGCCCCATGGGGGCCAGGTCACTTCCAATCTGAGCTGCTTTTCAAGCCACGCCTGGAATTCAGGATTTCAGCGGCCAAAGGATCAGCATTCCCTTTTTTCTCCCACTTCTGCAGCATTGTTTTCCCTAGGGGACACCCTGAACACATCAGTCTCTGCTGGCACAGCTTGCCCTGCACTTGTGGCCCCTTCCCCTGTCCTTGCTGGTGGGGATGGAAGGCAAAGGCACCCAGTGTCCCCTGGAAGGACAGGAGTGACGTGCAGGCTGCTTTCTCCTGGTGGCATCCCAAAAAAGACTCGGGCAGGCTGCCAGCTGGGCTGGGCCGGCTGCCACAGAGGAGGTCACAGCACTGACCCCGAGCTGTATCTTGGGCATGAGGTAAACACGTCTTCCTTTCAGCTCTGGGTCAGCCCTGGAGCCAGGCAGGAAAACAAGGCAGGAGCCAGCTGGAGAGGGCTGTTGGTGCCAGGCAGCTTTGGTGTGGAGCCCGAGGGATGGGGCAAAGGTGGCTCCAGGTGTCAGGACCTTGTGCATGGCAAGCTCAGGTGTGAGTGTGGAGGCTCACAGCACATCCTGAGGGGCCCTTCTGCATGTGGGGCTAACAAGCACCAAGGGTTAAACTCACAGAGTTATTAAAAAAGGAGGGAAAGGGGCCTTTCTTCACTCCACCCTGGCCTCCAGCCCCCTGCCCTGAGCCCAGCCCCAGTGCCCAGCCACGCTCTGAGGGTGCCATGGGTTTGGTGGTGGATTTCACCCCAAGGTGCCCACCCAGCTCCACGGGAGCTTGGGAACACGTTGCACCATGCAGGGGCAATCCTGCTGGGAGCTCCGCAGCTCTCTGGGATGGATTGAGGTTCATG